CAGGGCCTGGTGACCGCTGTCACCGCCCTCCTGCCAGGGCCGGACGAGCAGGGGCTGAGGATGGCCAGGGAGTGGCCCTGTGCCCACTGCCCTCGCATTGGCTGTTTGGGGGAGGGTCCGGCCCATACCCCAGTGATGTCCAGGTTTGGAGGGCCCACAGGGGTTCCTCAATCACCCAAAGGAGGTGGGAGGTACTGCCCACAGGCCACCGTCCTCCAGAAGCGGGCAGTGTCCTGGGCTCCAGCTTAAACATGTCATTGAAGCCAGAGCTGCCACTTGGGGCTGCCTGCCCGCCCCTCAGAGGGTCTGGTCCAGCCGTGGGCAAACTACGGCCTGCGGGCTGGATCCGACCTGTTTGAAATGAATAAAACTAAAAAAAAAAAAAAAAAGACCGTACCCTTTTATGTAATGATGTTTACTTTGAATTTATATTGGCTCACACAAACACTCCATCCATGCTTTTGTTCCGGCCCTCCGGTCCAGTTTAAGAACCCATTGTGGCCCTCGAGTCAAAAAGTTTGCCCACCCCTGGTCTGGTCCCTGCACAGCCCCCTGCAGCCCAGGTGAGCACTGCCCAGGGGACTCGCCTGCAGGCTGGCACGGTCGGGGTTAACCTTGGCCTCCTCCCCACCCCCCTACACTGGCCCCTCTGCCAACACCCAGGCACAGGAGGAAGTGCCCGCCCACAGCGGACCCACAGGCTGGGGGAGGCATGGCTGGGTTCCAGCTGGCCCTGGGTCATTGGGACCGCCCCCGACCCGACACAGGCGCTCCCCCCCTTGCCCTTGGGGACCTCCTGGCAGCTCCCGACACCTCTACACCTGCCGAGTGATGCTGTGACCTGAGACACCGGGTGATCCCACACTCATTCACAGACGCAGGGCAGGTGTGCAGGTGGCCGGTGCCCGGGCTGGCACTGCCACCCGCCAGGCCGGTCCGGCAGGTTTGCATCCTGGTTGGGATGACAAAGGCGCACCCAGCCCAGTGCCAAGCAGATGCTGTTGGGAGGCTCAGGGCCGCTGGGCCTCGGAGCGGGAAGCCCTCTGCTGACCACGGCTCCGCACAGGCAGGGGCCCAGGAAGCGGCTGCGGGGTCCAAGGCTGGAGCTCTGAGCCCAACCCCACGCTGCCCCCTAGAGCCCGTGGCAGGCAGAGTTCTCAGAGAGGAGGGGTCCTGAGTCGGAAATGCCACCTGGCCCGGCCTTGTGCAGGTGGCCTGTGGGACCCACGGGGCTGTCTGCGCAGCGACGGCTCCAGGCCTGGACAGTGGGCACACTTGTTCTGAAGGGACCTGGTCGCCTGTGGGGCAGTGCAGGCTCGAGCGGGTCCTGCCTGTTTTGGCACCGGAGGCTGCGCCCAGGGCAGCCGAGGCCGGGCCTGGCCCGTCCGCACCTCCCCCTCCTGGGACCGCAGGTTCCTCTGGGCACTGCGCGGAAGGCGGCGCCGGGCTCCTGCGTGGCACTGTGCGCCGGGCCCAGGTGCGCCCTGGCCACACGTTGGGGGTGGGGGTAAGG